TTCGGCGGACAAGACATGTTTTCTGTGTGTGGCCAGCTACGTAAGTCTCAAAGAGACACTGGTGGAGTCACTTGGAAGGACATGTCTGCTTTTAAGAAGCCTTTCGTAAGCCCTGCCCCACCTCGTGTACAGCAAGAGGTGGCAGGCGAAATGGTGGACGTTGTCACTTTGGACTGAAAAGAGAGCCGAGGTTTCAGAGGTTTACGGGCTTGTTTTGGCAAGTGTGAGGTTCCAAAGCAAACAGCGGAAAAACGCATTTTTTTTTCGCTGGCGGCGCGCGCTTCGCGCGCGCCGCTAATTTCTTTTTACTTAAAAATTACTTACCGCGCGAAACGCCGCGCCCGGCTTAATAAACCAACTCACTCCATCAAGACGACTCACTCCATCAAGACGATTTGAAAAATTGGTCCTTTTGCTGCGCGGTAGAGACGACAGCACGCCTACGACGTCACCAATGCGCTTCCGGGTGTTCCTGCAACTTCAAACTTTGTGGAAAGAAACTTTTGTGTGCTTATGGCTCGAGAAAGAAGTTTGTCTTTTTTCTTGTTGGAAAAAAAGACATTTCATGTGTAACTCAATTTTTATCCTTTTTTTTAAAGCCTCTGAAGTGTTTTTATGTTGGTTCTCCTTCTTGTGTGTTGAGATTCAAGTTGTTCATGCTACATCCCTCCGTGCATTTCTGAAGAAATGCAGCAAGCTTCGTTGCACCGTCCTGAAGAAAGCAGTGCCTTTTAAGAGATTTGTTAGCATCTTTAATAAGCTTCTTAGTGACTGTGCATGCCCATTGTGAACCTCTAGTCTTCAGTACAGCGGGTGGGAAAAAGCCTTGCTGCACGTTTAAGTGCAGTGCAGACTTCATCCGATTAAGTTGAGAATTTTCTGAGACTGGAATTTTTTTGTCAACAATGGATCAGCAGGAGGCTGCAAGAGGCGCCACACATGCAGACCAGACGCAGCAAGTGTTTGACATGACTTGGGCACAGATGGTTGAGACGGCGCAAACGCAGCAAGGTGAGAATCTTCTCGAGCATGCTAATTTGCTGTTTGTTCGAAGCTGGATCCGCAATCTCCAAACAAGAACGTGCATTCGGATGATAAACAGCCTTACTCTAAAAACTCGCCCCCCTTCAAAGCTGCACTTGTCCCTCCCAGCCTTACTCTTGCCAAATACCATAATAATACTTGGGGTCTCCTTTCTCCTGCTGCTGCTGCTGAACCCCCAAGAGAAAGAGACATGCTTTCGCATGCGCTTTTCTCGTCCACCTAGGTCGCAGCCTTGCACGTGTATGACAGAAACAAGCATGTATGTGACAGGCAAGAGCGCGGTGCTGCCATTTGGGTTGCGGAAGAGATAACTCGCATTGCTTAAGGGTGTGCAGATCTACATTTTCCTTCTGACCTACGATACGGCTGCTCCATGCCATCATGAGTGGTATCAAAGTCTGTTGCGACTACGACTGCGACTCACTGCTTTTGCGACTGTGACGGAGACTCTTTCAAGAACTGTTGCTGTTTTCATTAATCAGTCTTTTTTTTGGAGGCGCAGTCCCTGTGACGGCCGTGATTCCAGAGGGATGATGATGATGTTTGTTTTTTTGGATTCGATTTTGTTTTTGTCGGCAACCATTGCGGCTTGTACCTGCCGTTGCACACAGCTTTGCAGCTTCCAAGGTCCCACACCAGGTTCGTTGGAAACTTATCGTCTTTTGGGGCATCCACGTGCAGATCGCAAGGTGGATAGACGTAGTGTAGCATTAGAAAGATGCACAATTCGAATCTCGCGGTTATCTCATGTGCCGCACAGGATGGGTAGATCAATTGGTAAATGGAGCGATGTTGAAAACCAGACACACGCCCACGTAGAGAGACAGGATACAGAAAAGTTGTCGAACTGTTAGCGTCGCACCGGCGACCTACCGTCATGTGCTGAACCTGCGCGTAGCCACGGACGAGTTGTAGTGTTTGCCGCTCAAATGGCGGTGGAACCCTTCAACATTGTTGTCCGCAGCTCGGTCATTCCGCAGCACACGGATTGTTGCTGTCGCACTACACAGCGAATGCAAGCATCGACATGCTGCATTTTTTTGCGGCGTCTCTCTCCAGAGTGACTGGGGGCCCCCAGAGCGCTTCACGGGCCGTGGTGGTGCCATCCCATCAGCGAGATGCTAGTAATTGCTAGTAGCTAACGTGCATTGTGCATCATCTCAGCCACGAGATGAGGTCCGGAATACCTTCATTGATGCTGTGCAAGTTGTCGCCCCAGCTTCAAGATCCTATGCATTGCCGTGGTCGGTGTGCCCTAACCGCAAATTTGCGTGCCCATTTGGGAGGAGCCGGAAGGCAGAGTTCTGGATGACAGCCCCTTGAATCGGACCCTTCGTGCGCCCTTTCTATTTGCCAGTTGAAGCTGCCTGGACCTGATGATTCTGCGAGGACGCATTCCGATCCAACTGGAGGCTACTCCAAACAGGTCTTGAACTTGGACAGGCCATGCTTTGACATCGCGGGTGATTCGCGGTCCATTTATGTCCATTTCGAAACTTTGTGCAGGATAGTGCCGCGAGCAGGAATAGCCGAGGCCGGGACCTTTAGTCGGTGCTCGAGCTGAGCAGCCGTGCGAGTTGACTGCAGGAGGAAGAGGTTCACGACCTCCCAGAGCCAGCGCTTGTCTCGGTTCTACAGAGCTATCGTCGTCAGCAACGTGGCTGCTTGAGGCTTTCCACCGTCGGATGAAACTAGAGGAAGAGGAGCCTCTAATTGGAGCATTGATAGAAGCCCGGGCTCCGCACCACATCCGCAGGAGGAGGCGCCCCTGGCTCGGACGAGGAGCATGGGTCAGCCGCAGCCGTCGGCCTCCGCCAAAATCTCAGCAGAGCCGAGCCGGCTGTCGAAGAGATCTCCAGAACATCCAAGGTCCTGGCAGGCATCGGCCGCACCCTCTCGGCGGCCTCTGCAGGTGCTCTGTTGGGCTGCCAGACTCAAAAAGCCAGCTGAGAGAGGGTTGTTGCGAGCCCTGCCGCAGCTTTAGCCGACAGGCGAATCGCTGCAACGACTCCTGACTGGTGGTGGCGAGGAGCAGCATTCTGCAAGCAGTGGTTGGACCAGAATCGGTGCGCAGACTGGCCTCGAGATCACGGCAGGATGAAAGCTTTGCGGCTGCCATGGAAACGGTGCCACCTTGGGTTTCGTCTGAGCCTCATGGCAGTTGGCATTTATGTTTCGGCCGCGTGCTTTTCGTCCGCAGACTTGCCTGTTCCAGCGGCATATTATCATAGTATGCATGTGCGCAAAATATGTCGGAATAAGGAACATGGGTGTTCCTCAGCCGCCGTGGATGTACCCCGCCTGTGGCTTCTCTAGCTGGACGGCTGGATGTTTGTCTTGGTGGTCTCTGCAGGTATCCGCCGGGTCCACAAGCTCCGGCATCTGCAATGATGCCGCCAAGGTGGAGCCGAGATCTCTTCAGAATTCGGTGTCCTCAGCAGCGCGCAGGTGGAGTATTGATAACCTGACGGTTCAGACGGCGGTTCAGACTGCGGCTGCGCAGAGTGCTGCCCAGGCGGCAGCGGCCCGACTTTCAGCGGCTCAGGTTCAGGTGGCGCTGGAACTTTCCAAGGCGAAAGCAGAGGCGGCACACGCCAAGACATTGGCTCAGGCTTCAGCTGAGGCTCTAGCCAAGGCCCAGGCCAGCCAGCCCTGCGGATGTTCTTGCGGGATGCCTTGCGGCTATCCCTCCTTGGCCTCGGCCTCCACCGCCGCCTCGCCCTTCAGACAGGACCGCGGGCCGCTCAGAGAGAGCACAGTCCCCAGAAAGCAAGTCACTTGACTCTCTGAAGAGGAGCTGCACCGGGCTGGCCAGGCTGGGGGAGAGACCCCTCTCAAAAAAGGGGGGGGGCCTCTTCTCACGCCTTTGCTCTCGCAGGAGGCGGGGCCGCCGACGCATTTCTCGGCGAATCAGCCAGACTCCCAGCTCGAGCATCGAGATGGTGAACTGCGATGCGGCCTTGGGACAGGAGCAGAGAGAGGCAAGGGCCACCGAGTAAAGCCGGAGAATCTCCAAGCCTTTCACGGATAAGAAGTCTGGCAACAGCTAGCAGCTAGAAGGCTTTTTCCAAACTGCCTGTTTGACGCTGTTTTCGAAGCTGTTCGACCCTTCGAAAATCCCTCAGGCTTGAATCCTGAGATGGTGGTAGATGATGTTTGCTGTTCAACGCCTGATGCACATGGAAATCGGCTGGAACAGCCTTTAAACAGCTTGCGTGACTTTCCGAATTGCGGGTGAGCCTCTTGGCATGAGATGCAGCTCGTGACATGTGGAGCTACATAGCTTGAACCTCAAGCTTGACTGGTGAAGCACTGCTGGAATTATTTTGAAGCACCTTCGTCTTGAGGTTGTGTATAGGGCCACCTGTGGGCCGCCGACACAGCTTTCATCAGGACGGTTGCGATCCTGATGGGAAGGATAGCTTGAGTTTATTCAGGCATGCCGGGGTTTTGGTGGGTTTAGGGTTTAGGGCCGGGTCATCTCTGATTCTGTCGCCAATTTCATCAGGGAATAGGCCTTGCTGGCAGTTGCTGTTCCTTCGCTGTGGATTGCTGGTGGCGTGACATTCGGCTCGAAACAGCACGTCACCTTTGCCATCCAGGCGATGAAGGCCAGTTCGATTGCACAGGAGGGATGGATACTGATTCCAGACATGCTGCTTTTGGTTTTATCGGCATAAAGCTGCACTGGGCATTGGGTCGACTGGCTGTCCCGTTTGCAAATGCAAATGCAATTTGTTTCGAGTTTTGTTTGACCTCGCTGTGCTGCAACGCACATGTAACCAATTGGATACATGTGCCTTCGAAACCCGGACGAGATATGCCCTTTTTTGGCAGCGTCGTCAGGCGTGCTTGTCCAGGATGCTCTGTAGCAACCAAAACCAACGAGCAGCCAGCGAGACCAAGGTTGCTTATGTCAGAAAATTACGTGTTGGTGTAGCGGCTCGGCTCGTTGAAACTGTGCAGGCAGGGTGGTTCCCCTCCCCCTTCCACCTGTCCCGGCACCGGCCCGTTTTCCATCTCTCGCATTGTGGAAGTATCGTAGGCCTACATGCAACCTGCGCAGGCCTCAGAAGTTGTCGAGGACGATCTGCCTGCAAACCTCTCTACATAGTTGACCTGCTCTGTGCCGTATGTGGCAGCGGAGAGGACAAGAAGAAGCCTGCCAGTTCGAGGTGGCTGGCGCAGTTTGTGCCTGTGCAGTCTGTCATCACGCAGATTCCGAAGAAATGGGGTCAGCCAGGCGATTATGTTTGGACGACCTGACGGAAGATGCTCTGCAGGTCCCTTCCTGAGTTCACTCGAAGATGTAAGAACATGCAGCGACGAGAATGTGTCAGAATGCAACTCTTGCGCTTCGGACTCGACTTGAGGAGTATAGAGCTCGGGTGTCGACTGCACGCAAGAGCCTGGCTTTTGACAGCGAGGCTTCGCACTCAAAACATTCTATGAGGCTTTGCGCAGGGTACATAGCTTGCATGTGCTTTTGACTGCAGTGGATTCGCAATGAAGAAGAGTCCACAGGCTTAGGTCACGGTTACCTCGTACGGATACGAATTTCGATTCGACCAGGCAAACGGGACCGGATCCACGACCACCGCGGCAACGACCGTGCCGTCGTCAAGATCCATCTGCACAGCATTCTCCTCTGAAAACTCGCAGTCCCAGGCGAGCGCATGTCAGCATTTCCACATTCTTGTGAGATATTGCAGAGCTCAGTCGGCAGGTCAGCCTACAGGTCAGTCAAAGTGAGACTGAGAAGTCCGGCGCTCGACTGTCCCATCAAGAGTGCGGGAATGATCCACTCGTTGAGGCGAGCCGAGAAGGCATGGCTGCGGGCGCGTTTGCGCAAAGCCAGACGGCGGGAGCGCGATGACTGCGTCGTGCAATCAATCGACACAACCACAATCCCCAAGAATTTTGTGTAAGTTTCCCTTTCAAAAACGCCTCGTCTGCTTGGTGACCAGCCACTGCTTTGGCAGTGAGTGAAGCCCGGAGATGCTCAGCCGGCTGCGGGGGGGGGGGGGGGGGGG